GATTGTTTTACGAGCCCACACTGAACGTAATCTACTCAGATCTTTCTGGGCTCCAGCCGTTAATTGAGCGTTTACCCCGCGATTTGTGGTCAACCAGCTCCGGTGAATTGGTGAATGCTCAAATGAAGATTCTGAGAACTCTTCTAACTAGCTACGGTGTCTAGGTCATCCAAAGACCCCTGCGTCCTCAGGATTGGGAAGTCTTTGCAAGTTATTCTCGCCGGGTTCGTAGCCTACGGCTTAGATGGTTCGCGAGCGATGCCAAGCTCTATCGCGCCCTTTTGTCGCCCCCTAATACCTCGTTTCTTCTACCCAACCTTCGTACATTCACTTGGCACTGTCTCAGCACCCGCTCTGCAGCTGGACTCGATGACATGCTCGTTTTCATGCGTCTGATCTTCTGCCACAACCTCGCGGCAGTGCAGCTTATCGTATCTGAATATGCCCTTGCTGCATTTTCCGATCTTGGATGCACCTCGCTTAGGCAGCTAGTCATTCAGAATCATAAAGTTGCTATCAGTGCAAATGTCACAGAAGATGCGATACACAAACTTTCTGCTTTGAGATCTCTCGCGTGTGGAGAGGTCTCAGTCAGAGCTCTTCATCACTTGGCGCAATTTCCATCGTTGAGCCGCTTGACTATTTGGCTTGGAGACGATATCCCATCCGCACTTGCCTTTCCAAGGTTTCCATTTAGCAAACTTCGCTATTTAACGATCAATACGAAATCTATCGGTCCGTGCCTCTCTATGCTCAAAGCGACCAACTGGAACATACGCTGTTTCCACCATCGGATGGATGCGGGGTATGATCCCGCTGGACGCAAAGTGCTTCTGGAACTGCTACCCTTGCAGCTCTCGCGCGAGTCACTGAAGTGCATTTCCCTGCACACCTCCACTCCTCATCGAGACGACGACCCTATCACAAATCCCTTTTCACTGAAGCCACTTTTTAGCTTCAAGAATCTGTTGATACTGGAGCTCATCGGAGCTATCCTCCCAGAACTGGATAACGACGGGTTGCGAAAACTCGCTATTGCGTGGCCGCAGTTGCGGGTTCTCATCCTGCATCAGAAAGCAGGGCTGTATCGTGCTCCACAAGTAGATCTCACTGGGCTTGTTCTACTCCTGGAACATTGCACCAAACTACATCAGCTCGCTCTTTCCGTAAATGCAATCATCGATACCAAGGCGCCTCCTACGCCACCGATAAGCAGCATCAGCAATAAGCTCATTACCTTCATCAATTTTTCCAATTCGCCGATTACAAAAACGGCCGAAGTTGCAGCGTTTCTGTCTGCTATCGTGCCCAACCTCCGAGAAACGTTATCTTGGACAGGAGAGGTGATGTGCCCTGGTGGAAGCGTTCAAGAGTATCGAAAGCGGTGGGACGATGTGGCAGAGTTGGTGCGTGTATTTGCAGAGGTGCGGAAACAGGAAAGAGAAGCCTGCATGCATGCACTCAAGAGTGAAGGAGTGCGTAAGTCACGGTAATTCCCGAGTCTTTGTGGACCACCTTGCTGTCAGTCCATGCATATGATCCAGACAGCATAAGATGCTGCATTTATTGGGTTCGGTCCCTCTATCCATCCCAGAGTGCGGCTTTGAGCATCTGGTCCAGGTGCACAGATGCATTATTTCCTACAAACAATATACATAGCATGTAACGCGAGACTGTTGTACGTTTCTCCAATACTAACCCCACTGGCAGGCTTGTATAAAGTCCTCTAGGGCCCCATGTATGTACCACTACATACTGAGAGTACTTGTGGTAGATTTCAGACAAAGCACTGAATCTCCCACTAATGCTGTATATTCCAATGTTTCATTAAGGTCGTCAGATAAAACTGGCAAAGTTTCATTTTTGGAGCCTGGAAGGTCGTCGAATGGACGGGAAAACTGATTAGGTAGTACAGTCACACGTGGCGTCCATCTCAACAGGACGCGCGTCGCTTCTTCGCCAGTACAAAAGCTATCCTTGCCCTCTAACGTTGATAACTCTCTCCTTGCTAGACCATCATAATGGCTGACCCTAGCGGTGCTGCACCACAACCAGGTCCTAATGACACTTCTACCGCAATTCTGCGGCCAAAGAAATCGTATGTTACAACAGAGATCTTCCATGACATATATCTGATATCTACAGGCCAAACCGTCTTATTGTTGACGAGGCTACTTCAGATGATAACTCCGGTATATATACATATGAACGCTGTTGGATATTTGTCTAATCTTGCATGGACAGTTGCGACTTTGAACCCTGCGACCATGGAGATTCTGCAACTTTTCCGGGGTGACACTATCATCGTGAGGTGTGTATCGCGAATTCTTCACACAGAATCATTCCGAACAATGTTGCATGCAGGGGCAAGAAACGTCGTGATACCGTTCTCATTTGCCTGAGCTCCGATGATGTCGAGGAAGGTCGCATTCAGGTGAACAAGGTCGCCCGGAATAACTTGCGCGTGAAACTTGGTGATCTTGTCAATGTCCATCAATGTTTAGACATAAAATACGGCAAGCGGATACACGTCTTGCCATTCGACGACTCCATCGAAGGTCTCAGCGGTAATATCTTTGATGTCTACCTCAAACCCTACTTCCTGGAAGGTATGTATACTTTAGTCGATCAATATGGTCAATGCACTTATCCCGCCTAGCATACAGACCGGTCCGTAAGGGCGACACATTCCTTGTCCGTGGCGGCATGCGGACAGTGGAATTTAAAGTCATCGAGACTGATCCGGCCGAATTTTGTATAGTGGCTCAGGACACTGTCATCCATACTGGTTTGTTTGACTATGTGTCTTGTCAGCGTGTCCGCTGAACATTCCACAGAGGGAGACCCTGTCAAGCGCGAAGACGAGGAAGCAAACCTCGCAGATGTTGGCTATGACGATATCGGTGGTTGTCGAAAGCAGATGGCGCAGATTCGTGAACTCGTCGAGTTACCATTACGCCACCCACAACTCTTCAAGTCCATCGGTATCAAACCACCTCGTGGTATTTTGATGTTCGGTCCCCCTGGTACTGGAAAGACGTTGATGGCTCGTGCGGTAGCCAATGAGACCGGCGCGTTCTTTTTCTTGATCAACGGCCCGGAGATCATGAGTAAGATGGCCGGTGAGAGTGAAAGCAATCTACGGAAGGCTTTCGAGGAGGCTGAGAAAAACTCGCCTGCTATCATCTTCATTGATGAGATTGACTCCATCGCTCCTAAGCGTGAAAAAGTACGTAAAGATGAGTATTCATTTATCCCATCTTCTCTAACGATATGATAGACGAACGGTGAAGTCGAGCGTCGCGTTGTATCGCAACTGCTCACTCTCATGGACGGCTTGAAGGCTCGGTCTAATGTTGTTGTCATGGCTGCTACCAACCGGCCGAACTCCATTGACCCTGCTCTTCGTCGCTTTGGCCGGTTCGACCGTGAAGTCGACATCGGTATTCCAGACCCTACTGGCCGTCTGGAGATTCTTCGCATCCACACGAAGAACATGAAGTTGGGCGATGATGTCGATCTTGAGCAGGTAAAGCAACTGTCGACTAGTATGTCGTGCCATCCCTGACACTTCTATTCAGATTGCCGCCGATACACACGGCTACGTTGGTTCCGACATAGCTTCTCTTTGCTCAGAAGCTGCTATGCAGCAGATTCGTGAAAAGATGGATCTCATTGATCTTGATGAGGACACAATTGACGCCGAAGTGCTGGATTCCCTCGGTGTCACTATGGATAACTTCCGCTTTGCCCTCGGTACCTCCAACCCGTCCGCACTTCGCGAGACTGCCGTCGAAGTGCCCACAGTTACCTGGGACGACATTGGTGGTCTCGACAAAGTCAAACTCGAGCTCCAGGAGACGGTGCAATACCCTGTTGAGCATCCCGAGAAGTTCCTCAAATATGGTATGTCTCCATCGAAGGGTGTCTTGTTCTACGGCCCTCCGGGGACGGGTAAGACACTCCTTGCGAAAGCCATCGCGAACGAATGTCAAGCCAACTTCATCAGCATCAAGGGGCCCGAACTGCTCACGATGTGGTTCGGTGAATCAGAAGCCAATGTTCGTGATGTGTTCGACAAAGCCCGTGCTGCTGCACCTTGCGTCATGTTCTTCGATGAGCTTGACTCCATCGCTAAGGCACGTGGCGGCTCATCGGGTGACGGAGGAGGTGCAGGGGACCGTGTTCTCAACCAGATATTGACGGAGATGGACGGTATGAACGCGAAGAAAAACGTCTTCATCATCGGTGCCACTAACCGGCCCGATCAAATCGACTCTGCACTACTCCGTCCCGGACGTCTTGACCAGCTCATCTACATTCCCTTACCCGATGAAGTCTCTCGCTTTGCTATTCTGAAGGCAGCCCTGAAGAAATCCCCCATTTCCCAAGACGTGGATCTTGCGTTCTTGGCGAAGCAGACTCATGGCTTCTCTGGTGCCGATCTCACTGAGATCTGTCAGCGTGCCGCCAAGTTGGCCATTCGCGAAAGCATTGAGTCTGACATCAGGAGACAGCGTGAGCAGAAGGAGAAGGAGGACGCCGAGGACGCCAAGATGGAGGAAGATGAAGAAGACCCTGTTCCTGAGATCACAAGAGAGCACTTCGAGGAGGCGATGAAGTATGCCCGTCGGTCAGTGTCAGACCAAGACATCAGGCGGTACGAGATGTTCTCTCAGGTATGATCTCTCACTCGCTATACATCAATCGGCTAATCTGTCTCTCCAGAACCTGCAACAATCACGTGGATTCGGTAACAACTTCCGATTCCCAGAGGGCGCAGCGTCTGCTGGCGGCGCCCCATCGGCGCCCGCTGGCAACGCTGGTTTCGCGGATGACTCCCAGGATGATGACCTGTATGCGTAGGGAATATTTCACATGTCTGTCAATACATCATAGACTGCTCGTCAACCACTTTGTACATTATGAAAAGGAGTAATATTTGAAACCTTGGACTTCTGTACAGTATTAGATCGGCTTTTGAGCATGGAATTGCTGATTTGGCGATGAGAAAACGCGACATTATAATATTATGTGATGTTTGTTAACAGTATAGTACTTACTGGGAGGTGATATAACTTGTTATTCGACCTCGCTACTGAGAAACATGATCCCCCCGCCTAAGTACTATTTGCATGGCGATGAAACATGAGCACCCAATCGCACCCATGATCTGTATTGGGTGAGCATTATTCATCGGCAAGATACGGTACGTGCTCACCCCATTAAAAACTGCGCCGCGCCACCAGATGTAATCACCTGTTAACAATGCCCCTGATATCGGCGGGCCTGAATTGTACACCTTGATTCAGCAAAATGAGTATCACTCATGGGATGCCTATGTACCTATCAGCCCTCCAAGAGCCAGGGTCCGTGTGAGCACAGGATCAAATTGAAATTGTCTAATATTTACCCATGAAGGCGTAGGAAATGCCCATGCGGGCGCTGCGAACAAGTTTCACATCTCGTTGCAAACGTGCTTTCAGGAACAGGGCGTACCCTAGATCAGATGGGTCTGGCGATAAGACAGTCAAAACTGGTGCCCATAGCGCTTGAACTGCAGAGAAAAGCAGTGACTCAGCGGGTATGGTTAGCCACAGTATGCGACTTACAAATTCCAGCGCTATACCCATAAAGAACACCAATTACCACCACACTAGGCTAGGGTGCGCAATCCGATCAAGGAAAAAAGTAAGACAGTGCCGGCAAACGTTGAGACCGTCATGACTCCTGGGACGCCAAAGTATTCAACGAGCAAGCCACTTGTTAGCTGTCCTACGAAACTTGACGTGTTCATGATTACAAGCTGACAGGTTCAAGACATCTTGACAAAGGAGAGTTGTTGGACTCAACTGAATAAAAGGAGAAAGTTTTGCTGAGTCCATGCGTAGCCGAGTCGAGCTGGAGGTAGAATAAGGGATAGTAGAATCCAATAGCAAAAATGGTTAATCTAATCAATTTAAAATAAGTCTACGTTGATTAAATCTGCATGAACGTACCCCGCAGTTCCAAATATATAGGCGGGGTCTTGAGCACATTTCTTTGCGGTTGCAAGAAATGTTGTTGATGCCTTAGATGGGGGGAACCTCGGCTTGATGAGGAAGCATGCTATGAACAGCAAACCGCTGATGAGTGCAGCGCTAGCTCTAACTCCATTCGCAAATCCAATGCGACCATTCAGGGTGTTGTTTAACATGATTGGGTGCACCACAGCGCCTAGGCAAGCTCCTGAAGCAACGAAGGTCATCACTAATTCGCGTCGTTTGCGAAAATACTGCGAAACAACAGCCATGGTGGGGATATAAAGCAACCCGGCAGCGCACCCTGACCCAATGCCCTGCGCAAGGAATACCTGTTGCCGTAGTAGTCAGTAACTGATCCATAAGATAGGCAATATGTGCTTACTTGGTAGTACTGATCAGGTTTGGCGAGTGAAAGCATGAAAAGCGAAATTACTTGAAGGAGAGATGCGCCTATAACCAATTGACGGCTTCCGACATTTCATACTTATGACTACCGTGTGAAGACCACGCTGCAAATTTGACTGACCAGTATCCTCGATCATAAAGCTGCCCACTTATCAAGCCACAAATTTCGAAAAGAAAGGCATTCACGCTGCCGATCCAGCTGGAGGCAAATAAAAGGAGAAATATGAGTGCCGAAGGAGTACGACGCACGCAATTGTTGAGGGAGACTGATTCGTTATATAAGTCTGAGCATAGAAATCTTTGAATCAAAGTTACGCCCTTGGAAAAGTAGCTTCCTTTGAGGACATTAGATCTTACCTTGATAAACGCCGAACGAGATTGTATATCTGAAGATCTTTAATAGAACTGGCCCGTGAAATTGGCCCTAAAACTCACCCGTACGTGCAAAATTGCACAAGAAAGCTATGGGGGGTCAATGGTCATAAGCGTTGCGGCAATACCCAGTAGCCATCAGATCTTACCCTCCAAACGCAGTAGCCCAAGCTCTGAAGCCTCCATCCGGAAAATAGTCAGATGGGCACTCCTCTAAGCTGAGGGGCTTTTCAGAATCCCCAGTTGTGATGACAGGTAGGTCTGTATGACCCATTTGGCACTTGAAACGACAAAACGGAGTTGCCAGTGGATCAACGCAAGTCAAGAGCTTGTAATAAGGTCGCCGGCAGATTCTGCGGCGTCTGCGTTGATCATATCTCAGGCTGGCCCAGCCTTTGTCAGCCAGTCCCGAGTTTGACATGTACTTATCTCACACCGTCTGCGATCTTTTCCGCGCAAACTATCATAGAAATACAAGCCTCGTAGCCCGAGCTCTGAGATCTGAAACCTCCATCCGGAAAATAGTCATGTGCAGGGCTTCTCTGGGTTAAAGCGTTCTTTGGTTTCTCAAATATAACGACCACCGGCTCGATTAACGTTATGTCGTAATACTTACATAAGCGGCTTGCCACGAACAACACTTCCGCGAAAAAGCTTGAATTTTCATATGTTGTGTCTGGTATACGCATGTCACATTATTTTGGTGCAGGAGAGTCAAGGGGCACCGTGCTCGAACCATTTTGGATTAACTTTAAGTCCCTCAAATGGGTCGTAGGGACATAGTATCGGATTTACTGGCATCTGCATCCTACAGGTACCGCTGCACCTGGGCGCAATTAACAAAGGTGTGTATGACTCCAGTATCATTCTTGAACTTATATTGGATGCGGAGCTAATTTACGTGGGCCTGCGGAATATCGGGGGACATCGTGTTGAAGGCCTCCTTATCCCGTTCACTGGAGCTCAGCTCATTACCTGGCCTGAAAAAATAGTGGCTCGAGTGCACTTCATGCGAAAACAAAGGTCCGGATCTACGGTGTTAGGATGGGACATCCATAGCCCTATCGGGGGGTTCCTAAGTCCTCCCAAAATTTCCTTTCTTTCTTTCTTTCCATAGAAGAAAAACACGCATCATCTGCTTTGGTAGCTTGGTTTACCATGATCGTTACTAGCAAGCTTCGTCATTGTGAGTAAGCTAGTGAACACATCGCAATTACGTTCATTTAGTTGTTATGTTAAAAGTCACTGTACAGTGCATTTCAGGCCCCACCAAGCTTCATTCTGTCCAACCATGCTACAGCTGACCGACCTGCGATTGTCTGATCACGCTCAACTTGTCGTCGGCGCAACTTGTTTATGTATAATAGCTTTGATTTCTCGTGCCTACCTTTCTAGTACAGAGAGCAGCCTCTCCTTTCCTCCGTCCCCTCTCACGTGGAGACTTCGCGGCCATCTCATACCTACTCGCAAGTAAGTGCCAATCTTACTTCAACATTCATAGTTTCACAATGCCATTTAGCGGATTTCTGACTGTAGCGTCATGGATTGAAGAGTATGGTCCTCTCATCACCCTACGCACAGGAATCGAGAAGTACATTGTTATTGGCCGATATAAAGTATATCCCACTGCGGGCACCGGATTCTGAGCGATAACATGTACACAATATAGGCTGCAGCTGAGATTATGGAGAAACAAGGCGCATCGCTGGTCGATCGTCCTCGTTTCATTGCTGCTGGAGAGTTGCTTAGCGGGGGAATGGCTATTCCCTTTGTTCCCGCTGGCGAGAGGTTTCGTCGGCTGCGCAGGCTCGTCGTTTGCTATAATGTGGAAACATCAATCTAATGGTTCTCTGTGCTCTTCACTTTAGAGCGATACACACTCATCTCCAGCCAAAAGCAGCTGAAGCATATCAACCGCTCCAGATCTCATACGCAAAGAATACTGTCATTGACATTCTTAATGATCCATGCAATTTCCAGGATCATGCGCGAACGTAGGTCCTAGGCCATACAATGCGGCGTTGCTGCTCAACGGACTGAAGTTACGCAGCCACAACGAGCATGAAAATTGCATATGGGAAGACTACCCCTACATCTGCCACAGATCCCGAAGTGAAAAGGGTTGCTGAGTTTGCCGATAAAGTCCGCGCTGCATTGCACCCTGGCGCGTACCTTGTAGATTCGATTACGTGGCTGAAATACCTTCCTTGGTATGCGCGAGAACTACGTGACAGCTATCGGGATTCGCGGAAGCTCTTCATAGAGCAACTCGGTCGTCTCAAACAGGAGTTAGTAAGTATGCATAATCCAATCTAATAACATGTTAGAATGCTCGATAGCAGGGAGGTGGCGAAGCTAGTCCTTCGCTTGGAAGACGTCTCTTGGAAAAGAACAGTTCTAACGCAATGCCTGAGCTGGAGATAGCTTACCTTGCTGGTATGGTCTTTGTAGCTGGATATGATACGGTGAGCTCATGCATCACCGCTTTTGAATTTAACTAGATTCAGGTGTTATAGACTACTCTCGCGATATGTACAGTACTAATGGCAGCTGCCTGTTTCCCTGAGGAACAACGTAAGGTTCATGAAGAGCTGGACGCGGTCATCGGGACCGACAGAGGTAGGTTGATCGCGTGTTATTGGGGCGTCGATATAAGAGCTGACTCACTCCAGCTCCCGCATTCACTGACAAGAAATCACTTCCTCGCTTTCATGCCTTCGTTTCGGAGGCCCTGCGATGGAGGCCGTTGGTACCTATGGGTAATTACCTCCAGTCTTTCTAACTGATGTCTATAGTTCACCTGCTTGAAGGTATGCCACACCGTACGACACAGGTGGTTGTTTTTGTGGGCACTCTTCGTCGTTCTGTAGAAGCTACATCTAACGGTACAAACAGGAAGATTATCGTATTCCAGCCGGGACAACGATATTTGGCAATCACTGGTCAGAGCCCTCCTTTCGAATTTGATTGATCTGATATGTAGCCGTTTCAGGGCCATCTCTCGCGATCCAGATGTCTTCCCGGACCCTAACGCATTCAAGCCTGATCGTTGGCTTGATACCGAAGGGCGCGTGAGAGATGACCTCAAGTTCTTTGTATTCGGCTTTGGTCGGCGGTAGGTACCATCTTTATGCGGTTGGTCATGTTCTCATCCTCTTTACTTCTAGAGTGTGTCCCGGACAACATGTTGCAAATAGGTAAGGCCACACAGTTCACCCATATGCCAATGTGTTCCTATAAATGTGCGGCATAGCTCGGTGTTCATAAACACGGTGCTTACCCTTTGGGCCTTCCGGCTCACGTTGGATCGTACGAAGCCGTTGGATGATGCGGCTTTCATGAATGGCATTCTCCCGAATGAGCAGCCATGTACGATTGATTTTCAGACGAGAATTCCGGAAGCTGAGCTCAGGCGTATAATGGGAGGGACGTTGGGGACACTTGAGTCTGAAGTATGGCTCCGTAGTAGCCAGAGCCACGCTGGTGATGAACAACACCGCAGAAGCCAAATTACCGCTCTCGCCTCGAAGTACATTGTTATTTATGTACCAGTTATGAAGGAGTGTGGCGTCTGCGCATGCGTTGCCACCAATGCTAGAAACTCTGTGATCCCATTTCATTGACTACTGTTCTGTTGGCTGCTTACAGGCCTGAAGCTAAGGTCGTGTCTATACAGTCCGTCGAGTATACCACTCATTTATTCACATCTCAAGTTGTTCGACGCTCGGACTCCAAACACTGCGAGATGGTTGTATATCCTGTAGGAGCTGTGGGCGACTGGGGAGCTGTGCGAATTACCTGTCTGTGCTTGTATGCTCTTGAATTCCTGAACAATACAATACTGAGCGGAAACCACCGATGCACGTTGCGTAAAGATCTAATGAATTGGACCTGAGTTGAACCAAGCGATTTGGCCAATAATGGTGGTCTCCGTGTTGTCTCGGATCCATACAATATTCATAACCACTACTCACTCGCCCGCTGATGTCCAAAGCAGGATTGTAACAAAACTCAAAGGTTGAACGTTGAATAGTACTGCATATCAAATATTTCGGGTCGTCTGGATACGCTGTGAATATTGAATAGCAAGTTGTTGGCTGCTTGGACGACGGCTGTCCAGAATAGTGCAATATGCTCCTAGAATCTTGTATCGTACGAGACTGTAGTAAAAGTCCGTGAAGCGTATCATACAGCGAAATGTTTGACACTTGGTGTAATATTATAGAGTTTTGTGCAGGGTATCAGGATGCGAGGGATCATGACACTTTAGAGGAACGAACAAGGGCAGCGTAATCTGCTTGCTGTTCAGCTATCAGCACACAACCCAAGCTAGTGTCTACAAGCAGTCTCTCCAGGGGACACTTTGGGCGTGTCAGAGATGCCTTGAACTTCTCGCGAGGCCACGTTGATGGACTGCGAGAACTAAATGCGCGTAAATTACGGATCGAGAGCACTGGACACGCCAGGTCATGGGTTTTTGCACCCTAAAGCACCACTGACGTCCAAGAATTGAAGTTTAGTGTGTGAATGGCCTCGAGACCTGTATTTCGTGGGATACCATGGCGGTCGTTAACGAGGATAAGTTGGGACATAGCTGGAACAAGCGGAGGAATGTATTCTGATCATATACTTTGATATCAGCTATCGTCGGGTAGGCCCAAACGGGAGTGAGATAAGATAGGCCCTCGAGTAGAAAATACGTTGATATGAACCCGAGACTGCTCAGAGTGGACGGCAGTCGCGAGATGCATTGTGTGATAGCCGAAGAAGGTATTCTGTTGATGGTTAGCTCTTGCAGTGCTGAGAGGTCTTTTAACAAAAGTTCAGGCTGGTCCAGTGCGTCGTTCGGGAGAAAATCGATATAGAGAGAAGATATTTGATTAATGTCAGGCTAAGCCATCAGTAAACCGAAGGTTTTGTAGTCTAGTCGAATGACTTTTGCAACACTCGAGTATCACTTCCGCGACCACCTAAGGAATGAGCCATAGTAGAACGCTAGCCACTGCCATTGACTGTCACAGATAGCCTGCACCACAGACCAGGTATGCCCACATGAATCTCCCTCCATCGTCGGCATACGCTGGTCAACAGCATGGGGGCTTTTAGCTGCGATGGGTGCGGCAATTTATTGGACTGCGGGAGACAGCGGTGAAGATTTTGAGATAGGATTTCAGTTTGCAAGCGCCAGAGAGCCGATTTGAATCTGTTGTGTAACATTTTAAGTTGATGATCTCGTTCTTCTGCTTGACGAGTTGCAACTGAAGATTTTTGATACCACCTGTAATCGTCTCCAAGCTTGAGATCTCAGCCGAAATCGTATCCAACTGTTGCCAGTATTCTGCAACGATATCGCTGATGCTCTGATCTTGAGTTCGATGGCAGGGTAGCTAGTATAGGGTGATCTGAGTTGAGAGTACGAGGTTTCGAAGCCTGGGCATTTGTCATTCGTCGATATGGCATCAGACATATGATCAGGACTGTCTGCAATGTGCATTATTCGCTATAGCTAGCTAATGGTTAAAATGTTCAAGGAAGATGGAGGTTCGAAGTCGAACTGACGTTATAATTACGTACCATGAAGATCGACCCAAATATTTGGTTTGCTGTTTTTCGCAAGACATTACCTACCATCACCCGCGTTTCTCGCTACTCGTCCACTCACAACTCAATATATGACTACAGAGTTCAGGCAATCCTTTCCTCACGCAGGAACAGTTTATCGTGCGTGCCTTTGCTTCCTATTTGGGGACACGGGCAGGAGAGCTTGAAGATGCACGTCTTCAGTCTTAGACTGGGGCACATCTGCGTGTGGAACTCGAGTTGGGCATGGAGATCGAGAAAGTACCCCGGAACCAAATTCAGAGTAAGATCAGACCCGGTGTTTCCCCGCAGAACTGTTCGCCCAGAAATAATAAAAAAGATCTGTTCGTGCCAATGGAAGGTATATCCATTCGAATTCTACTGTCACGATACTGGTATCGAAATCTCCAGAATGTCTCACGTCGGCATGTCCTCGCGGCCTTGTCTCTGTTCCTTAATATGCTGAGTGTTTTGGAACGTTTGCGCGTCCTTCTCGTTCTTTCACCTTCAGGCTGCAACTTACCTCCATATTGCAGCGCTGTAGCCTATGAGATCTGTCCAGGAGACATCTTCATGGAGGCATGCGTGCTTTCGAGCCTTGCTCGCGATCCTCCCTAGTTCTCATACCCCGTTGACGACTATCGCGAGTGTTGCTCATGATCTAGGTTGTGATCGTTCGCAGATACGCATGGAAGATCTTAGCGTCGATGTCATCCAGTGCCATTTTGATGCAGCACGTCTCGAATGTTTGCGTTTCTCGGACAACGTGATTGCTGAACGTCTGTGTTCCCAGGATTGTCTACTTGATGATTGAAAGCAGCAGCAACGTCACTGAAAGAAAGAGGAGGTGTTCATAATAGCGGAGTCGGCCCGGGTGCGCACGGGCTATATATAATACCACGTGGTATCAATATTCGTTGTCGTCCTTCGCTCGCTCAATGCATCAAAATATTGAGGGGATGACAGCCAACTCAGAATTCGATGCCTTCCCTATCTCCGATATCATTGGTGAACTGCAAAACATCGTGAGTGTTGAATAATAACCTGAGGTACATGGGGATAATAATCAATTGCTTTAGTTGGCACGTTCACGAGTGATCGTATGTCGATTCCGATAATACAGGCTTGGTATGATATACCGACCATGACCACTGCAGATTCCAGACCTTGAAACACCATATTCCACATTTCCAAATACTGACCATTCTGCCATGGGGCGCAACAAAAACATCAGCGCTGTCATCACCGAGCGCCAGCAGCAGTTGGATGCAGTTTTACAAGAGGTCTCAGGGATGGAAAGCGTCATGGATAGAATGAAGAATCTTCATCAGCAGCTCCTAAAAAAGAAGGACAGCATTATCCAGTCCATGAACTTGCACAGGGGACTTGTTTCGGCTCTCTGGCGCTTTCCACCTGAACTATTATCCCTTATTTTCGTTCGCTGTCTCCCAGAAACCGAACACTTGTTGCCCTCGTCAAAACTGGCTCCCATGCTGCTGACCAGAATATGCCGAAGGTGGAGAGAGGTTGCTGTAGGGATGTCCAGTTTGTGGTGCGGAGTGATTGTGGACATTGATAACGAAGATTGGCAACGAGCAGCCTTCTGCTATGACACGTGGCTCAAGCGATCGCGAGATCGTCCGCTCTCATTAGCACTCAAGTGCTTCAAAAATGACGCGACCGACCTACGAAACCTTCTTGAGCCTCACACGAACCAAATCTCATCTCTTCATATCATACTATTCGTCAACCCCTTCACTGCAGACCTTTTGTTAAATGACTTCCCAGCACTTCAGGAGTTTACCATAACCTCATCTGATCCTTTGTGGTGCACCCCAAGTTTCGCACAATCCATCTCGCGACTACCGCTCACCTTGCGGAGGCTCAGGGTAGCCGGGCCGTCCGCATTCGACTTTGACCTCATAGTTTCTTGCAATCCCGTATGGGCCCACCTGACACATGTCGAGATCACTATATGTCAACCCAATCTAATCCTCCAGTTGCTCCGGCTAGGTCCCAACCTCTCCTCATTAGAGATTGGCCTAGGCTTTCACCACGAAATTTCATTAACGTTTGAGCCATTCACGCATATGAACCTTCAATCCTTATGCATCAGTAATGCATCCCCGATGCTCATGGGAAATTTATTCCCTGGCTTGTTCAATGCACTCACTCTCCCCAATTTACGCGCACTTGAAGCTCGCTATATACGACCATGGCCACACGAGGAGTTCAAGACATTTTTGGTACGGTCAAGTTGCCCTCTAGGGAGTCTGACTCTCGGCACTGGGGTTACGACGACAGATGAGCAGCGAGGGGAATATATCGTCCTCGTTCCTTTCCTTGACGTAGTAGTGGACCCCAGGCGTGGTGGTTACTTTGGATATCGCCGCTTGGTCCAACATGGCAGAAGGAGAGATGTGTGACCTGGTGTTGTAGAGTTTTTACGGAGGCCTAGTTACGTAGTTGTTGCAGGGTAAGTTCGGGCAATATTGTCGTAGGTAGCATTCATCACTGGTATTACTACTTGGTGTTGAAGTTGGGTCTCCGAAGCTGGTTGAGGCCACATCAGGTTCAGTCTGCCAGAGGCAGGTCGGTCACTGTCGTTCCAGTGCCAAATATTCAAGGTAATCATCTAGCATACATATACTAGATCCGAGCTCAGCTAAAACATATGGAGGTCAGTTCCCCCCTTGACCATCATGCGAGGCAGCCTTCAGAATGCGCCATGTGTCCTCCCCAGGATTGCATTTCCTCAGGCTGTCGTAGTCATACCAAACAAGCACGCCAACCGAGTCCGCAACGATCGCTTGTTGTGAATACGAATAAAGCACAGCATTCAGAGTGAACTGCGTGCGGCTCGAAGAGACGGTCGGCCTTTGGCCGATCAAAAGCTACTCATGTGGTTATGAAAGATATCACTTAGAAATGTTGCAGGGGAATCTTACTGTGTCAGGAAATGTCACCGGTCGTCTGAAATTGACGTTCGCCGATTTGAGTATGAGCGAGACGCCCTGACCCGCGAGCATTGCCTTGGCGCGTTTTTCACCTCCAAGAACTTTTCCAAAAGCCATGAGCCACGCCATGAGACCCTAGCCAGGCTTTAGTGCGGGTAGACTTTGACAACATAACACGCTAACCGACTCGATGAATCTTACTGCATACCGACAGTGGCAAATTCATGAGCGACTCTTGTTCCTGTCAAAGAAATTCAATCGCTTACGGTATTGTGTATTGTTAACATGTCTAAAAAGATGATGAATCCGTCCTTCAACACGTTCATGAGGTACCTACCGAAACGGATCTTGATGCCCCATTCAATACTCTGCTCCCATAATGACCCCGCATCATAACCCATAGAAATTAGCTTAGTTCTGGCGTTCGCTGCCAGGGAGCCAGCTGCAGTGGGATGGCTGATCTGAGATGGTGTAGGATCCGGATGTGAGGGAGGAGCGTCCGATGATTCAGGCACTGTCTGCCTTGGTTCAGTGTGAAATGGCGAAGATGGATCCCGGAAAGCATCTTGAAGGGACTACAGCGAGTAAATTTTCAAACTCTCGCATGAGGATAATCATAGGAGGCACATTGAAATCACCTTGATCGATGAGCCGCTCAACGACGCTGCGTGATGTAAAAAACACGGTCGTCTAGAGCGCAGTAGAACGCGTGCATGTGTCAATGCTCCAAGTGGGTTCGAAGAGAACATAACATTTACTTGGAGCTATGTGGAACCACTGCACGAAGAAATAGGCCAGCTTAGCTGGCCCTACTGACGTGGCGATTGCAAAGACGGCTAAATGATTGTTTTCCGTTCAACGTTTAAGGAATCCGAGGAATCCCATAATGTCCAGCGCACTTCGTGGTCATAGACCGTCAATCCTTGTTGTCATATCAATAATGCATTTTCATCCCGTATGAGAAACCTACTGTTCAGCGCATTCATATCCCCTAATTTACGTGTATGCGTGTTTAAAGTTCGCTCCATACAACCGTGGCCACATGAGAAGTTGAACACGTTTTTGGCACTGTCAATTTGCTCTGAGACTGGTGTTGTAGCCAGTTATAATGCAGGCCTATGTAATTAGCACACAATTTATGCCAGACACGTTGGGACGTTTAGACTGGATATTTGAAGGTCTAACTTGGGGTGAGACGGTCCGCGATAATGGTGTAGGGCACCCAGCGAAGGGGTGTACTAGTGGCACCAGGCAAACAACCCAACCCATTAGTCAGCAGGATCGTCGAGGCCACACCCTAGTTCAGTCTGCCAGAGGCAGGCACATTTATGCTAACGCTGTACATTGATGATTGCCGGTCGCCGCCGCTCCTTCGTCGAATATTCAAGAGTAAACCAATCTACCATTCATATATCAAGTCCGAGCTCAGTCGAAGCGTATGGAAATCAGCCCTCTACTTGACCATCGTGCGAGGCAGCCTTCATAATGCGCCATGTGTCATTCCCAGGGTCGCATTTCCTCAGGCTATCGTAGTCGTACCAAACAAGCACGCTATCCGAGTCCGCAACGATCGCTTGTTGTGCATACGAATAAAGCACAGTGTTCAGAGTGAACTGCGTGCGGCTCGAAGAGGTGATCGGTCTTTGACCAATCAAAAGCTAGTCATGGTTATGAAACATATCACTAAATAAATGTTACGAGGAAATCTCACTGTGTCAGGAAACGTTACTGGTCTTCTAAAATTGATGTTTGCTGATTTGAGTATGAGTGAGACGCCCTGACCCGTGAGCATTGCCTTGACGCGTTCTTCACCCCCAAGAACTTTTCCTAGGGCCATGAGCCACACCATGCGACCCTAGCCAAGCTTCAGTACATACGAACCTTGGCAACAATATCAACATGCTGACCGATTCGATGAATCGTACTGCATATTGACAGTGGCAGATTCGTGAGCGACCCCATTGTTCCGGTTCAAAGAAAACGAGAACCCTTACGGTAGTGTGCATTGTTAACGTGTCTATAGTAAGAAAGATAATGAGCCTGCCCTTTGATGTCTATGAGGTGCCTACCGAAATGAATCATGGTGCCCCCACACAATACTCTGCTCCCACAATGACCCTGCATCATAAGCCCATGGAAATCAGCTTAGCTCTAGCGTTCTCTGCCGGCGAGCCAACTGCAGTGGGGTGGCTGGACTGAGATGGAGTCGGGTCTGGGAGTGAGGGAGGAGAGTCCGGTGATTCAGGACCTGCCTGTCCTGGCGCAAGATGAAATGGCGAAGACGGGTCTCGGAAAGCATCTTGAAGGGACTACAGCAAGCAGAATTTCAGACTCGCACGAGGATTATCACCAGTAGCATACTGTTTAAATCACCTTGATCGATGAGCCGCTCAATGAGGCTGTCTGAGTTAAAGAATACGGTTGTCTAGAGCGCAGTAGAACGCGTGCATGTGCCAATGCCCCAAGTCGTTTCGAAAAGAACATAACTTGAAGTAGCAATGCCAGCACCGATTCGGTGTAAGAAATACAAACAAAATTTCCTTTTCGGGCAGATCGCAGTCAATGCGGCATGCCGTTTGAATTAAGTTACGCACTGGTCTGTTTTCACTTTCTCAAGTAGATTCTTCGAACCACATGGATTTCTGCTGATCAATAGTTGTTGTTTTCAGGGTGCCATATCTTTCCTTTCTACAGAGTGTTCTGCGGTTTTCCGAGGTCAGTTTCGGGCACGGTGGCCTCGGTCGTGACTCCAATATGACTCGGATGATCTAGTACGTGTCCGAACTTCTAGTGATAAACTCTGCGCCTGAAATCGTTCTACTTATTTATTTTGTAGCCTACCATTTTTGACCAGCTGATTGGTATCGTGTCCATCGATATCAGATGCCAATTTCCAATTGCTCCAGTGCGTCGAATTGGTGAGTTTTTTGTTATCATGGATCATAGAATTCTTCTGGCAATTGTTCTTGCACTTTCCTGTCCAAGTTGCGGATATTCCTGTGTACTATGGCCCTGCATGTAAGGGCTGCAATGGATCGGTGAGCTTCTCGAAACATTCATTGGCTAGATATCATGCGATGCGCGATAACGATACTTTAATCGATAATGCTGTACAAATCTGCGCATTGAATCAAGTTAAAAGCTCGTCTCCTGTGCTCTTCATCTAAGTCCTTGTCTGACCAAATCCTCACAACATCGGTAATACAGTCCTACTTCCCATTTATGAAACATCACTGACAATAGCTTTTAGCAGAAGCCTTCGGACGACGTAGACCCAATGCACAAATGTCTTCAGATCGCAGAGCTATTTGATGCTGTTTGCAAACGAGTTCTTGCGACTGGGCACCAGGGATCCCTCGCGGCTCTCTGTAGAACTTGTCAGTCTCTTCCACGAACCTGCTCTTAACGTACTTTACAAGTCGCTGGAAAGTCTTCGTCCATTGCTGTTTTGCGTCCCTGCAATCAGTCACAATCGGAAACAAGATCGTGAGTTCCGACCCACAATAGTTCGCGACAGTATGCTGAAATCACATATACGTAGACTACGTTCAAAGAGTTACGCCTTTCAGACTGGCAGCGAATGCAGTATTACGCCAAAAGAGTTCATTCACTCAGGGTCAATGACCAAGAAGAGGTAGTCATCGATAAGACTATTCTACATGCACTAGCTGCTTCATCCTTCGCGCCCCCTATGTTTACTCATCTCAAACGGCTTTGGTGGTCAAATAATTCTGCAGATGCTTTACCACTCCTATGTTCTCTAGTCAACTCCAGACTGGAATGGCTAATTTTGCACAATATGGATCCGATACTTCTTCCGCCTGTTGTCCCCCACATTACCTCCAACAACTCTCTGCGCATCGCGTGTTTCCCCGCAAAATATAGTATGAGGCACATACATCCTGACGTGTTCCAGAGCTGGCGCAACTTACAGAACCTTGTCTGCGGTCTAATCAATGATGCAACGCTCTATCATCTCGCAACATCTTCTAAGCTTACGCATTTCACTATTCAAGTTGACGAGAAGAACGACTACAGTGCTCTCATGAAACTGGCCGGCCAGCCAGTGTTTACCGCCCTTCAGGGGCTCGACATCACTGCGACTCACACCTCCCACTGCATCCCTATTCTGGAAATCTCAGAGCTACCATCGCTACGCTCCCTCCGTATTCATTCGACGGAAACAGGCTTAACAGATGCTGAGCTGCATCGGTATTTCTGCTTAATCTCACGTCACTGCCCAAATCTTTGGGATCTACGGATGAAAGAATTGCAAGTATCCCCACCGAAATTCCCTATTGGTTATATCATCACGTTTGATATCTTGAAGACGCTCTTCTCCCTGCGACATCTGGAAGCACTGCATCTCGACACGACTTGCACGTTTTCCCTCGATGATAAGGAGCTTGCGCAGCTGGCTGGCACGTGGCTGAAATTGCGTGCACTTGAACTGGGGATCGAAAATGGCTGGCGGCAACCAAGCAAAATCACTCTACAGGGTTTCGCAAAGTTGTTGCAGCACTGCCCAGTGTTATCGGTAGTCGGTCTTGCTATGAATGCCTGGGCACCGGATATCGACCATCGACGACCTGGAGGAGGGATCCGCAGAAACGGTCTGGAAGTCCTACGAGTGGCTGATTCCAAGGTCACGGGCCCATTGTCCGTCGCAGCGTTCTTGTCAGATATTGCACCGAACGCTGAGATAACGGGCTACGAGATCGGGTATGACATATATCAGACGTTTAATACTCGGTTGTTGTATCGGGAGAGGTGGGAGGAGGTTTCCATGTTGCACCCTCTGTTTGTCAACTTGAGGAGGCAGGAAGCAGTGGGTTCGGGATCGGACGAGTACTCCAGAGACTGAGTAGTAGAGCATCACTAAACCTGTTATAGCTTGCAAGTGACACGGTCCACTGAGTAATGACGTTTGCGTCTGCCACCCTTTTACATGTCGGACACATATGGGGCCTGGCCTTGGAGCTTGACGATGAACATGAGATTCTTATAATCGAATCTGAGCAAGACACGGTGCGCACGCCGGCGAGACACCCTGCTCTTGTTGCATTGCTTGAATTTCGATGTGGCACTTGTAAAGTGTTTATACGATGAAGTAACAAGTCGACTTAAGAGAGAGAATCATGACTAAAATATATTCGGGGGGGGGAAGAATCAACTGTCCTCACCTGTAGTTCTCACGTACCTGATCTGATTAGATATGACAGCGACGTGACTCGGTGAACTTCTCGAAGACTTACCGCTAGCGCTAGTGCTGGCGGCGGCACCTGGGTTTCCCAGTATGTAAGCATTACTATACTGGGCGATCAAGCGCCTCGCTAACTATTGTTTGGCTTAGCTGTGTTAAATCTCAACACCAGCATTAAAACCCGCCCCAAATACCCTGCAAATACCTTATACCTGGTAAGCTATTCTTTGAAACAGCTGGCCATATTACTATTAGCTAACACATACAGTGGCTCAAAAAACTGTCCGCATGTTTTGACATATTTCACTATCTATGATATTGTGTGAGAACGAACAAATGCCTCAAGGACATGCTTATACCACATTGTAGTATGGCTTCAGGGCTTTCATTTGAGCCTTACACCGTGGGAATAGGTGGAGATATGGTGGAGATACAAGGCTCACAAAATGGTGACTCATGCGGACAGTTTTTTGAGCACATATTAAAACTATATAAATCATCATTTATGACACCATAACAATCATGCCACCATTAAATAAATTATAAAGTGGTGTCATTATGTCATTTTAAAACCATATCTAACTATACAAACCAAAAATTTCCATATGTCATGGTTATATTCACCATGAAAGCCACCCCCCCTGCTCAAAGGGATAATATCCTCTCTCTTTCCTATTCTGGCCTCTCTGCTTGTCAAATTTTCTCTAGAACTGGAGTATCCAAGTCCACTGTGGCCAAGTTCATCAAAGAAAGTCACACAGACAAGGAAAACTTCTGTGAAGGGCATCCATCCAAGCTCACCTCTACTGATAGGAGGGCTATTATTCAACATATCACTACAGGAAAGGCTGATAATGCTGTCCAGGTCACCTATTACATCAATTCCACCATCATATTCCCTGTCTCTTCACGCACTGTGAGAAACATTCTCAAGGCAGCTCATCTCAGGTCAGTAACAAGGAAGAAAAGGCTCTCCTCTCTATCACACATATGCAGAGATGACTAACCTTTGCCTTAGCCCATCAGAATTGGATTACACGGACTGGAAGCATGTTATATGATCATATAAGACCACAATAAATAGGATTGGGTCAGATGGCAAGGTATATATGTGAAACAAGAAGGGTGCTAGTCCTCTCTGCATATGTGTGATAGAGAGGAGAGCCTTTTCTTCCTTGTTACTGACCTGAGATGAGCTGTCTTGAGAATGTTTCTCACAGTGCGTGAAGAGACAGGGAATATGATGGTGGAATTGATGTAATAGGTGACCTGGACAGCATTATCAGCCTTTCCTGTAGTGATATGTTGAATAATAGCCCTCCTATCAGTAGAGGTGAGCTTGGATGGATGCCCTTCACAGAAGTTTTCCTTGTCTGTGTGACTTTCTTTGATGAACTTGGCCACAGTGGACTTGGATACTCCAGTTCTAGAGAAAATTTGACAAGCAGAGAGGCCAGAATAGGAAAGAGAGAGGATATTATCCCTTTGAGCAGGGGGGGTGGCTTTCATGGTGAATATAACCATGACATATGGAAATTTTTGGTTTGTATAGTTAGATATGGTTTTAAAATGACATAATGACACCACTTTATAATTTATTTAATGGTGGCATGATTGTTATGGTGTCATAAATGATGATTTATATAGTTTTAATATGTGCTCAAAAAACTGTCCGCATGAGTCACCATTTTGTGAGCCTTGTATCTCCACCATATCTCCACCTATTCCCACGGTGTAAGGCTCAAATGAAAGCCCTGAAGCCATACTACAATGTGGTATAAGCATGTCCTTGAGGCATTTGTTCGTTCTCACACAATATCATAGATAGTGAAATATGTCAAAACATGCGGACAGTTTTTTGAGCCACTGTATGTACAGCCAGCTACCTAAACTATTCCCACAACTTTGTCTCCTCACCATCACTGTCAACGTTGAGCTTGCCAACGCCATCCTTGCCCCTGTTCTACCCTCCCTACCTCTGCTCAAGCTCACCAACACCATCCTTGCCCTCATTCTGCCCTCCCTGCCTCTGCTCAAGCTCACCAATGCCATCCTCACCCTTGTTCTGCCCTCCCTGCCTCTGCTTAAGCTCAAGCTCACCAACACTATCCTTGCCCTCATTCTGTCCTCCCTGCCTCTGCCTCTGCCAAAACACATCAACACAATCCTCCACCTCCACCTCCTCTCCTCCCTGCCTAACATCAACATTGGCTCACCGACACTTTCCTCCTCGTTCTGTCCTCTCTGCCTCTATCCAACATCAATATTGGGCTCACCAATGCCATCCTCCTCCTTGTTCTGTTCTCCCTGCCTCTGCTCAACGTCAACTTTGGGCTGGCCAATGCTGTCCTGCTTATTCTCATCTCCCTACCTCTGCTCAACCTCAATGTTGAGCATGCCAATGCCATCCTCCTCCTTGTTCTCTCCTCCACCTTTGCTCAATGCCAATGTTAACCTCTCTTTCAATGTCAACACTAGGCTCCCGCTGTCCATTCCAATCAACATCAACATTAGGCCCTCTACTGCCTGCTGCACCCACAGTGCTACTATTGTTCTGAAAACCTTGACCTTCAATCAAATGGTTTGTGGGCATGCTCCTTACTCACTATCAATTTTTCTAATGATTTTATTAGTATGCTCTGCACCACCAGTCAATATGACTTGTAGTCATGGCAGTGTATACCAGGGGATATGTTGGTGCTTTCTGTAATGCAAGCACTTCATCTTTGGTACTAGCTTGTGCCCTGCTCATTCATTTGATGCAATAAAGCAACTTTATTTGGAATGACTATTGTAAACAGCCTGACTATTTTAAATGGTCTGACTATTCTAAATGCCAATCAACCTGTCCCACTCAACGAGGTCAGTTCATTGTCATTGGTAGTAAGAGATGCTGAAGGTTCGAGCTGAGTGTTGATGTCAGTGTTGACATTGTTATTGTTGTTGTTGGTGTCAGCATCAGTGTCAACAGACAGAAGACTCTTGTATGTCTTCTTGTGGTGTCTTGGAGAAAGGTTCTTGTCATTCTCGTCAGCATGAGTGCACTTCTTCGCCTTATGGCGTCTTGGTGGAGGGTTCTCGTCATTGTCGTCAGGAGAACGAGTGCAAGTGCACTTTTGCCCTTGTCTGAATGAGTCCAGTGACAACATTCAATAACCTCACCACTGTTGAGTTTCTTGTTTTGTTCACGATGAAGTTCCTCAAACTCCTCGTTTTCCATCTGTCTCCAGTAAATATCTCCAGACTTCCATTTACATAGAAGCATCTCGAGATCAGTTAATGAGTTAGACACTTTGCTGAGGTTTTCAAAAGGCATGTCAACAGGCCATCCTTGCAAATGACAAGATATTGCTGGATGACATTGCACCAATAGTGAACCCACTGCATCTTCACATCTGGGTCACCAGTGGCCTCCTCTGAAATACATAAGTGAGACTACAGAACGATTGACATCTGAGAAGACTCACAAAGTTTCTGGTTGATTTTGTGTGGATTGCACTGTGAATCTTGGAGCAACATTGTTGATGATTTTTAGCTGCACCTAAAAAACATTTAGCCACACTAACTTAAAGTATGGGGGAAAAACTTACCATGCATCCCACTCATGGCAAAGCCTTCCATCTTACTATGAGGTCTTGGTTATCAAGGTTCATGATGGACTCCATGAAATCTTGAACACCTTCAGTTGCAAAGGCAATTCCCACAGAGCGGCAGGTCAGTGGAGCCACATGTCATATATAGTAGTGTTTCTGCCCCAGTCCAACACCTTAAGCTATTCAACTACACAATTATTGTAGCTATATTGTTCAAATAAAATAAAATAGATTACATACCTCATTCTTGATGGCTTAAGGGTCTGTGTAACGTCATTGACCTTTGATTTGGTGGATATGCGAGTACCGGTAGTCTTCACGGCCTTATGCTCCTCATACTCCTTCAAGAGGCTAGCTTTTGCATCGTCAGAGAGTCATGATACTCCATATGATTCTCCTGGACCAGGTCCCATAAGATCACCTTCCCTGACAAACTGCAGCATATAATAAGTCAAGTGTAGAAGAACTAGAAATGAAAAAAATATGGTACTGTTTTCTTTGTCCACAGTCTGATTCTTCTTCAGCAGAATGTGTTCCACACACTCAATTTGGAACATTTCAACCACAAGAGCCTTTGACCATGTATAAGTCATGCTGGACATGGTGAATAGTCTTGCCATTAGAAGATGCGATAGTCTTCACACACTCATCAATTTGGGACCATGCATCATCAAGTGCAGTCTTGAAGTGGTGGGATTTTTCATGACAAGAGGCAGTGAGCAAGGTTCGTGCTTCCTTGCTCAGATGGACCCTTGGATGGTGATGAGGTGAGGGCTGGATGCATTTTGAGTGAGTGCTCGATGCATAAAAAGTCTGGGAGCTCATGACCTGCCATTAGACTGGGTTAGTATAACAGATTATAAGTTTTGAAAAACAAATGTGTGCTGCATTAATGGCAATCAATGTTATATTACATGAATAAAAGTCCAAAAAAGTATAGCGCACATAAGCACACCATGATCCTGAGCACCTGAGAAGTCTTAGCTAACATCAAATTTGGCTGCAGCAGCTGTTAGCAGCATTCTCAGACTAGTAAAGCACTAAGTTCATACCATGATTACCTCCAATTTGGACCTCTGCAGGTCAGCGTTAAGTGCATTAGTCAGATGTACTGCCTGCTTGAATGTGAGACCCCACTTTGGAGACCTCAGAGTAGCTCCCGATGGGTGTGTTGCATACAGTTGTTGTCAGCTCACAGAGCCTGGGAATCAAGCCATCCCCATTTGAAGCAATCAAGCACCACATCGGTATTTGGTCCAATGCTAATGATTGGGGACCATACACAATGACAGGTGTGGGTGAGTTGCTTGGTTGAGCATTTTTAGGAGTGAAAACACATCAGCAAGTTGATGTCGACGAGGCTTGGTGTTGCTACCAGTAGTAAGGGATGCACTTGCTAGCGCTGTAGTGTGCTGAATGAAGCTTGATGGTGGACAAATCAAAGTGTCAGAACTATCCTTTGGTTTGGTGGAGAGATCTTGAAGTTGCGATTTTAAATTGAGTGGAGGCCAGGCCAGAGGCATTGGATGCATGAGCCAGTCAGGACCAAAGGAGCTGGCAAGGCCTGAGACCCTAGTTGGATTCACCCTGAGGAGCCAGATTGTAGGACAGTGTTAGGACAATCAAATTTCCTGAAAAATGATAACAAAGACTCACAGTGATGGGGAGGTTGAATGTCCTCAATGTGACACCGCTCTGTGAAGCATTGAAGGTGTGTTTGGCCATCTGCTCACAGAATCCTTGGACAAAGAGTGAGATGTCCCCTCCAACCTGTTCTGGGAACTTGTGAAGTTCATGGGGAGTGACATAGACATTGACAGCAATATGTTCAGCCGTCAGACTGTCTGTCACCTGAGACCCAGGGCAGTGAATGAGGAGTGAGATTCCACCATCCAGACGGTCTTGCATACAAAGCTGCAATACACTACATTGAAAATCATACAGACCGAGTTTGAAAAACAAACACACCACATCAAAAACGTCCTCAAGTGCTGCTTCTACAAACTCCTCATGCATTATCATCTTCTGATCCTGCAACATCAAGATCTTGTTGAACTTGATAAATGAGGGGTGAAGACCACCGGGGGTCTCTGTGTGATAGTGGGTGCCATCTTGATGTGATTCATGCCTGAGCAAAGCACGAGCTGCAGCATGGTGCTCTGCATTGCTGAAACCTGGTGTGAGGGTATCTGAATACAGTGCTGCAACACTGGCAAGTGTAAAATGTGGCTTTCCGAGGCTCTCTGGACTTGGCATAGCAATCTTCAGCCCCAGCTTGTTGTGGTAGTGGTTTTTTGAGACATTTTGGTGTTGACATGTTGGTAGGTGTCAAAAACGAGGAGGGACACTGGAGGTGAAGAATGAAAGTAGTGTGTAAGATTGAGTAAAGTGAGCCTAGGCGCCTGTACATGTGTGTAAGTTCCAGATAAGACAACCAATGATTTCACTAGATAACGGTGAGTCAAGAGTGATTACTGCTGCCAATCCAGTTATAATAAGGATTAATCGTCTGAAGGAGATCATCAATGTTGCCACCAAAATCAAAACAACCTCACTCATTGTCTACCTTGAGCCTGACGTTGCCAAAGAGAGTCTGCTTTCCAAGAACTTCCCTCAAGCAGCAGCAACTAAAATCAAATCACCCTCCCTCACTGTCTACCTCAAGCCTGACATTGCTGAAGAGAGTCTGCTTGCCAAGAATGTCAAGCAAAAGCTCACCTATACCTCATTGCATACTATGACCGCAGCCATGGAGATCTGGTATGACCCAGACCCTCAATTCATGTATGTGCTTGATCTCCAGGCTGATTATTTCAGCAACACAAGCCAGGCTTATGCCACTGCATCTAATAAGGATTTTTATTCTGCTTTTTCGTCCTTACATTGCAATTGAACTGCAAAAGCATTTTATTTTAAGAAAGACAAATACAATACAACTAATACATCAAATTTAAACAGAGCTGTCCATTAATCAACAATCAATGCGAAAAAATCAGCAATGTCCTGTGTAACCTGCAACTGCTCCTCATGCTCCATGGCCCTCATTGGCAAGCTCTGAGGTGGTGCAAGCTTCTGTCAAGGCAGTAGTTTAGTTGATGTATATATTTCAAAGCAGAAAAATGTACCATCACCTCCAGCCATACTGTGTGAGATAGTGTTAGTAGGCTCAAGTGCTGCTGTGATAGCCCCAACCTGCTGGCCAATCCCTCTACTACCTGAAAACCTGGTTGAAGTGTGTGATCCGATCCAACTGAAAGGTATGCACAGTGTTGACAGCTTCACATGCTTTCCATTGCCATTGTAGCTCATGCACTAATGGAGGATCCAAAACTAAAGTTCAGTAATGACTGTCATCATTTGGTGGCTTCATCATGATTGCTGTGCATAGTCGGTGGACCTCCACATTAAGCTGAGTGATCTCCTCTGAGCACAACATAGCTTGAAATACTTTACTGTTGCTTCACAATGGGCGGGCTTTGTCCAGTCAAGCTCGCAAATGTCTGTGTGTGAATGGCAGAGTAGATCAAACTCACCTAAGAAGCTATGCTCAGTTGTGTCACTGTACATAAAATCAAACTCGCCTAAAAAACTGTACTCTGTAATGTCCTTCCAAGACAACTGTGGACGTGGAGGATCTAATGCAGCAGCCTGAATGTTGTATCAGCTGAGCGCATTTCAAATTGCCTCAGAGCGCCACTGCAATGCCTTGCCAATTTGCTGGCACAGTTTATAGCCTTGAAATCAGTCAGTATCTCCACACAAGTAAGTGAAAGGTCAAATGCACACCCATTCCTGAAAGTGAAAGTTTTGAGAGCTTGAACAATGCATGACAACCAGCCATTCTAAATCATCTAAAGCAGTGCGATATTGATGCTGAGATGCTTCCTGTTCATATTGATTATAAGTGTCACCCCGATCTCAGCATCTCAATTCAAGTTGAATCTCCATATGTGCAGTTAAGGCTTCTGTGTTCTGTAGTTTAGCATACCCACTATCAATGCAAATCCTGGCCTGAGACAGAGCAGCCAATATTTGGCTGAGATCACTGGCTGCAATAGTGGTCAGCACTTGATTTGCGCTTCATGTGCCAAATCCCACTCGGATCTTTGTGGACATAATGAGAAAGAAAAATCAACAGTAATTGTTGGACTTGCCTTTGCTCAGCCAATTCACATAGGACTTGAACATAGTGAATGTGAAGAATTTCTTTCAGAGGTGTGGTTCCTTCAGGTTGTCAAGATACAACCTTTCTTGGGAGTGAAATTGAATAAGATCCACATTGGTTAAGCCAAGAGTGTCTTTCAAAATGGATAGTTCAGCTGTAAGGGTCTCAATTGACGTTAGTGCTTCCTGATAGTGGTTTCACAAAAAAGTGCCTTAAAAATGATTGAATTAGTTAAGTTTGAGGGATGAGTGAAATCATACTTAATGCAGCATATTTGTCATCGTCCCAGAATGCGAAATGTTCTTCAATGGTCTGGTGTTGGTGGAATGCAGATGCATGCCTTGTGCTTTGTGCAAGTTCATTTGAAGACACAACACATGCTCGCCCCCTTGCCCTCCGTATGGCCAGTGCCATCAATATACATTGGGTGCCAGTCCAATTGGCAGTGTCGGTTATGAGCATGCCCATGAAAAGCACCTACCATCATCTGTAAATTGAGGCTGATGGCACAGGGTCCCAAACTGCTATTTGCCAGAGTCTTAGCAAAAGCACGCCTGATATCATAAGCGCAACCTCCATTTTCACCTAAGATGGACATCAAATGATCAGAAGAGCTAATGGATATTTTGCCCTGAGTTTCGTGAATTTCATACATGGTG